TCCAGGCTAAGTTTGATGTTTTGTCCATTCCAAATGGGACACATTTTAGAGAAACATATCTTTATGATGAAAGGTAGTCCAGTTCTGAAGATTAGATATTTTCTATCCTTCATGCCCTGCTACTAATGATTTTGCTGTTTACTCAGCCGGATATAGCCACATTGACCATCTTCCTGCCCTTTCAATGTGCTGGGCTTCAGCATACCCACAGCATACATAATCTCAGTGTAGAGTCCTTCCCCTGGAACTCTCCAACTCATTTGGGGTTAATCTGTTCATCTGTCAGTGGACTAGTTAGATACTTCTTGTGTTGTTCTCATATTATAGTATATTGTTCTTTATTGGGTATTAACCATAATTGAAAGTCATCTTTGTATTTCTTGCTTTAATATCAGTCTCTTTCCATAGATGTAGAGTGAAGAAAACAGAGGCTTTTTATTATCTTGTTAACAATTATATAATACTTCTAAACTGTAGCTTGTCCTTGATAAATAGTTGCATGAATGAATATTTAATTAGTATTGAGACTTCGAATATTGGATGAGCACTTAATTGCTTGAGTCAAATAGAGTGGGAGCCACACCTCCATACTGTGAACAAGTAAGTCCTGGGATGCTAAGTGCTAACAATAGAGGAATATAGATGTGAAAAACAGATTGAGTGGTGGGGAGTTTTAGAGACAGAAAGCAAGCAACATTGACTAATATTTAATATTTGGCTAGACAAAAAAGACAAAAACATACAGACAATAAAAGGAGATTGGTGGGCAGAATTATTTTAATGGTATAGTCCCTAGTATCAAATATACCATTGTCAATAATCACTAGTATCAAGTATATCATTCATGGCAACCCAGATCTGTCAGTGAAGCAAAAAGTCTGAGACCTATTGATTCAATATTATCTCTCCACATTTCTCATTCTTTTGGGGGTCTTAGAGATCAAACATCCCCCAGTATTCCACATACTTGTATGTTATGTGTCTACCTCTGGAACATCATAGGTACCCCTGTATCTATAATTACATATATTCATCTGTTTATTTTTTTTCTATTGGGACACAAGCTTCTTATTGACAATGATTTTCTCATCTGTTCATGAAGTTTCATGAGTAACTAACTCAATGCTGAGGATCATTTTCTGAAGAATGTTCAACAAACTGAATTCATTTTCATTAAAAATTCATCTCATTTTAGCAAGCAACTGTGATTCTTTAGAAATGGCTAAATGAATAGACATGAATGGTTTTTTTTTGTTGTTTTCTGACTAATTTTAGTTTTAGATACTTCGGTGGGCTTGTTACAAACATGACTGCAGTTGTTTGAATTTCTGCTATATTTGTGTTATTCTGTAATATAATAAGCATTTCTCATTAAAAAGACAGGATCCCTTTATACAATCTTGGATTGTTGGTTGGCTTTAGAATTTGTTTGAGTTAATAGAATGTGACAGAAACTATAGCACATGATGAGTTCTAAGGATAAAACTTTGAGATTCTGCTCAACCATTCCATGCACATGTCTAGGCGGTCATCTAGCTAAAGTCATTTTAGAAGAGCCAGTTTCCAGCTAAACTAGCAGTGACCACAGAAGCACCGAGTCCAGGTGAAACGGGAAATTCTCAGCTATGTCCAACCCAAACTGCTGACCCACAGCATTGTAAGCTAAAAAAATAAATACTGCTGTAAGCCATCCTGTTTGGGGATTATTATGTAGCAAAAGTTAATTGTCACTCATTAATATGTAACTATCTTTTTCTTTCTATTGAGAAGAGATTCTTCTCTCATATAATACATTCCGACCACAGCTTCCCTTCCCTCTACTCTACCACCTTCACTTCTCCTCACCCCCAGACCCAATCCCCCCTTGCTTCCTCTTCAGACAAGAACAGGCCTCCAAGAGAAAACAGTCAAACAGGACAAAACAAGATACAACAAGACAAGGCAAAGGCCCTCATATCAAGGCTGCGTAAGGCAACCCACTAGGAGGGAAAAAGTCAGTTGAGAGGGTACTTGGCCAAGAATGGTGGTGAGATTTGACCCAAGTACCAGCCCTTTCTTTGGAAGAAGGTTCTTAGGTGGAACTATCTTGGCCATTGTGAATCTGAGACAGTTAACTGGGATGAATTTGGAAAGTAATAAAAGAAGACATCTTCAGAGAACTATCAGTAACTCCTAAATCAGCAGATCCCAGGAGGCATCTTGTGAAGAGTGCAAGTGTCTTCAAAACTGAAGGGACACTTAACAACACTGAAGGCCAGAGTTCAGATCCCAACACTTACGTAAAAAGCCAGCGTAGTCTCTCACATGCCTGTGAACCCAACCCTGAAGGCTGGGGAGACAGGAGGATCATTGGGGCTTGCTGTAGCCAGCCTAGCCATGACGTATGTGCTTTAGGAATAGTGAAAGACCCTGCCAACAAAGGAGCATGGCAGTGCATGACAGAGGAAGACGGCAGACATCTTCCTCTGGCCTCTGTCAGAGGTGTGTGTGTGTGTGTGTGTGTGTGTGTGTGTGTGTGTGTGTGTGTGCAAACACATACATACACACGTGCATATCCACCTCATATACATATATGCTCCTCCCCAACATAGAGGGAACTTCAGAGGACAGATGAACAATACTGGAATGAAGATTAGATGGCTTGATAAGGCATAAGGTAGGCAAGCAATGGCACATGCAGTGGACAGTGAAGTCTGTGTTAGTGACATCCCCAGTCTGTGGATATTTTTTGAGCAAATGCTTATAAGCTCATGGAGTCAAGATTGGGATGGATTTTAGAAGAAGGGAAGGAATCGATGTTCCTTGTAAGAACAAAGACTTAAAGAATAAAGCTTATATTGCAGAGTGAGGAAGTGATTGAATTTGCTTTCCACCTCTGCAACTTTTTGGTTTTAAGAAAGTGAGTGAGCCTCAGGGTCATCAAGAGGAAATTGGCTTGCTATAACCATTCCACACAGAACAACAAATAAGATAATGGGAGGATAACAGTTAGCACATTGCAGAACTTGGGAACAATGGCTCTTATTATGTAGGGTTGGTATTAAAAACTCCAACTGAGTACTCTTTGATGGTGGCCCTCAGGAAGTCATATAGATTTTTAAAATACCCTTGGCTTCTGCTATTCACATCAGCCTCCCCCACTGTCCTCACTCCTCTGAAGAATAGCCTTGTTTACTGCACACAGTGGGAAGCCCTCTTTCTGCTGAAGTTGGGATATTCACTCACCCTGTGTATCAGGGTGATGATGCAGCTTTTCTGTTTGGGGATGTCCCCACTTTTGTATTCCTGTTATGAGCTCTAGGCCATTGGATAGTAAAGGCAAGTTAGAGAACAGGTGTGTTCAGTGCCATTTCGCTTTCTGGTCTTTTGGAATTAAGAATTAAAATTTAAAAAAAAAAAAAAGAGGCCAAGAAGGCAGACTCTATTTCAAATCTACTCTGTACTTTCCTTCTGTATACACTCAGCAGCACCACAGATCTCTCCTGTTGAGTCATGGCAGCCATTGTTTCAAGGAGAGGCATCACCCAGACAAGAACAAAGGATGAAATATTCATGTTTTGAAATCCAAAATTTGTTCTTGAAGCTAATTTCAGAGACAATTGTAGTGAAAAGCCAGGTTTTCACTTTGCAGTCCCTAGGCTTCTTGAAAGAGAAACTAGAAGCTTACCTTTAAATATTAACCAGTTCCTTAAAATATTGAGAAGTTTGGGGATTTGAGAATGAAAGATATACTACAAACCACTGAAGAGAGAATATGTAGGTATTGAGAGGGCCGGGGAGCCAGACTAGAGCTTTCACAAGTTTCTAATAGCCCTGCCAGGAACCAGGCCTTAGTCTCAGTTTACCGGAACTGGCTGGAACTGAGCAAGTGGTTCTCAGGAAGACCACAACTCAGGGGCAGCCAATCAGCAGGTGCCCCACAGCCTTCTGCTGACTCAGCACCCCCTCTCCCCCCTCAAGCCCCCAGCCTTCTGCTAGCTAAAGATAGCTTTTCTTACCTTCCCGTCGACAAGCCCCAACCACCACAGTCTCCAGTCAGTCAGCTCCCAGGCTAATCTTTCCTCCACCAATCAGCACCAATCATGCACCCTCCTCCATGGAATTCCCCTAACTCTTATTACAAGGAGCTTGAAACTTCCCTTCAGGGTTGCTATTTGTCACCCCAATCCGTGGGAAACAATAAATGCTCTTGTTAAATTGCATACGTGACTGTTGGTCTTTCTTGGGGTCTTCTCTTGGACCCTAACAATTGGTGCATTGGCCGGGAAGCCCCCTTAAGACCCCCTGACATGTGAGCATTGAAAACCCGGCTGGCCAGTAAGTGTTAGTGTGAGTGCTCTTTGTCTTGGTCTGTCATTGTTCTGACTGACTGTCACTGTTCTGTTCCATCTTCTGTATTTCTGCTCCTTGTTCTGTGTTTCTTCCTCGTGGAAGCTTGAGCTAACTAAATCCGGAGGCCGAGGTTTGCCTGACTATGCTAAAGGCACCTTTGCCTGTGGGCCGGGAGTCATCCCGGACTCACTTGAGAGGGACTGGGTCCCTTCGGTTGAATTGGGGTAGAGGGTCCCCCTGGTTGAACTGGGACAGAGGGTCCCTTTGTTTGAGTGGGAACATAGTTCACTTCTGTTGCAAAACAGAACTCCCCAGGGAGACAAAACCCTTCTTGGTTTCTTTTTTTGTGCACCATATTGGTACATTGTGGTCTCTGTTGAGTCCTTTTGTTTTTTTGTCTGCTCACTATGTAACACTTGAGTCACTTCCTATATTTGCTAAGCTGTGGTGGCCGTGTTGTGTAGCTGGAGCTTTCCTGCCTGGCCCACAGTCAGGACAAATCTCTCTCACCCGCCAGTCCCAAGCCGCTCAAACCCGATCAAGTAAACATAGAGACTTATATTGGTTACAAACTGTATGGCCGTGGCAGGCTTCTTGCTAACTGTTCTTACAGCTTAAATTAATCCATTTCTATAAATCTATACCTTGCCACGTGGCTTGTGGCTTACCGGTACTTTACATCTTCCTTGTCCTGATGGCGGCTGGCAGTGTCCCCTCTTCAGCCTTCCACTTCCCAGCTCTATTCTCCTCCTTGTCCCGCCTATACTTCCTGCCTAGCCAATGGCCAATCAGTGATTTATTTATTGACCAATCAGCAACACATTTGACATACAGACCATCCCACAGCAGTGTTGTGATGGCTAGCAAGCAGTGGCACACTGGGGCAGGACTTCAAACGCCAGATAGAAAAACTGGGGTTAATTGTTGCAACAGCCGGGGAAGCTGACAATCATTTTATTGCAGGATACTGACTACCAGGTAGGCACTCTGTGCTCACAGGCTGGCTGTGTAGCTGTGGCAATCCCCTCCTCTTCCTTCCTGAGCCAGATTCTTCACTATGGACCAAGGTCCTTGCTGTCAGTTACTTCCCTTTAACCCCTTCCTGTCCTGACATTGCCTAAGAAAAACTGTGCTTTTGTTTCCACAGAAAAATACATGATTTTTGTTCATTCTGATCCAATGGCTTATTAATATTTGTCATCATTTAGAGGAGTTGGTTACAAATTATCATTGTTTAGGGTAAGAAAAAAACTACTGTGTAGACGAATTTCTAAATGGTCTTATTAAATAAAAAACACAGAGCCAAATACAGGGGTGAAAGACTTAGAGAGATCAGGGAAATAGGAATAACCACCAGCTAACCTTACCTCACCAGCTCTGCAGCTTCCAAATATCATGACTTCCTGTCTCCCCAGGCTTTTATTGCCTTGCTGTTCTGACCTCTCATTGGCTATCTTAGCCCAGCTACCTCACTTCCTTGTCACTGCCTGTCTGTACAGACTTCTAGGTCTCTATGGTTGGTACTGGGATTAAAGGTGTGTGTCACTACACTTGGCTCTGTTCCCTAGTGTGGCCTTGAACACACAGAGACCTTGCCTGCCAAGTGATCAGATTAAGGGTGTGTGCTACCACAGCCTGACTTCTATGTTTGCTTAAAATGGCTTGCTATTTCCTCTGATCTCCAGGAAAGCTTTATTAAAGCACAGATAAAATATCACCACATTTCAGCACAAATAAAATATCACCACACTACTGCAAGTCTTAGATGTTTCAGGTTGGTACAGGTTTCTATGTGTTGATGTAAATTTAGAGTTATTTTTGTTATGGTATATGTATGTTTCTACTCTTGTTTAAAATATTATAGCCATACAATATTCTAGACTACTGAAGGAAACCACAAGAAGGACTTCGATAAAAGATTTCATGTTGTCTGGAAAATAAGAAGGCAGGACACTGAAGTAGTGATGAGAAGAGAAAGGAAAGAGGAAGTTGTCTAAAATAAGAATGTGTGGCTGAACCAGAGGAGCAGAGATTGGAAACTGAGGGTATATAGTAAGTTGTAGAAGGCCAGAGCAGGTATGAGATTTGACCATGGTATGTTAATTCTGGTTGATTTTCTTCATTTAAAAACAAAAACAAAATAAAGCTGATGATTCTCCACTGCAAAATGTTTGTATTGGGAATGGGGTCATAATCTTTAAAGGAAAGAGGGGACTGAGGTCCCATGTCAGACTTATTAAAAATTATAACATATAATTAAAAATACAGGCTAATAATTAATCATCATGTCACAGCCATCCAGGTTACAGGGCTCTATGTGATTGGCCTCCTATGAAATGACAAGATTAAAGCTCTTAACTATTCAGAGTTTTGTAGAAAAGTCAAAACCTATTTCTTAAAAATTGTCAGCAACATGTCTATGGCCTGTAAATGAAAACTGTGGTCTAAATGTTCCTATAATGTTTATGAATAGGGAAAAATGCTTATAAGATAAAAGCAAAACAAATGGGGAACTTTGGTCTGCAAAAAGCAATATTTCTAAAGAAGCCATTTCAGAAAAATATGGCTCTAACTTTATGTTTGGTATAAAGAATAGTTGCCTGTGGTGATATTGTGTTCCCCAATATATTGTGCACCCTAATAAACTTATCTGGGATCAGAGAACAGAACAGCCACTAGATATAAAGGCCAGAAAATGGTGGCACACCCACCTTTAATCTTAGCATTCCAAAAGCAGAGATCTGTCTGGATCTCTGTGAGTTCAAAGTCATAATGGAAACAGTCAGGCATGGTGACACACGCTTTTAATCCCAGGAAGTGATGGCAGGAAGCAGAAAGGTATGTAAGGCGTGAGGACCAGTAACTAGAGCCTGGTTAAACTTTTAGGCTTTTAGCAGCAGTTCAGCTGAGATTCATTCCGGATGAAGACTCAGAAGCTTCCAGTTTGAGGAAACAGGATCAGCTGAGGAATTGACAAGGTGGTGTGGCTGTGGCTTGTTCTTCTGTTTCTCTGATCTTTCATAATTCACCCCAATACCTGGCTCTGGGTTTGATTTGACTAATAAGACCTTTAAGATTCATGTTACAGTTGCCATCAGACCAAGAACAGCAGCACTGATGAAGACTGTTGTATGATGATAGAAATATAAAGTTAGATTTGTTACTGTATATGTGATACAACTTTGGTTAGAATACACTTTATATGGCGATAAAAAATGTAAGGTTATAAAGGTCTATTCAGATTAATAAAAGCTGACTTAGAGATTTATACCTAAGTACCTATGTCTTTGCCAAATATTTAATACCAAGCTTTCAGAGAATTTAGATAAATGGGAACATATTCTATAATAGTTTCTAGTCCCCTGAGAGGGTCCTTTTCCCAGGGCTGAGCATTTGGGCAGGTGCCCCCATGGCTTATCAAGGACAGTGCTGGCCGCCAGGCTTCCTCAGTTCCTGCTCACAGGCCACACCCCAACTCATATGCCCCCTTTCTCCTGTTCCTATATGGCCTTGGGGATTTTTCCCTTGTCACCGAGAGACAGCCTTAGCAACTTGGAGCAAACCTGTTTCATTTTTATGCACAAAATGGCTCTGGTTTCTTTATTGAGCCCATTATTTATGATTAAAAGGTTTTATTTTGGTACTAGAAGAGCTTCAATTCAAAATCATTATTTTTAGGGCTGAACCTAACAGGAAGGAAAGTCCTGGTCGTATGAAAGCTGCTAACTTACTGTAGACTGTTAAGGAGCACAAGTAAATAATCAGTCATCTTATAAATGATCAAAGTTCTTTAATTATAGTCATGTTCTTAAAAGTAAGCTTAAAACAAGCAATAAAGTTTGTCTGTTCAGAGATATCTAGTAGATAAACAATCCTCAAATACTCCAGATATCTGCAGAATATGGCATTTAAAATGTTTAATAAAAAGTTTATTGTAACAGAGACTCCAGCTCCTAGCAATGACTTCCAGGGTCTCCAAAGAAGATATGGAACAATGCAATGACTCCACCCTGATTGCTGATAACACTGACCACTGGGCAGTATGGCCTAATGCAACACCTGCTGTTAGGATTTGGCCCAGACTATGGACAAGTAGGATACTGGAGAATTGATTGCCCCCCTTTGCCTAGACAAAGTAAGATCGATCTTCCCCCCGTTCCTCCTTCACAGGAAAAACTTTGACCTTGTGGACCTGGCAGATGAAGACTGTTGCTGTCCTCATACCTCTGTCTCCAATGCTGTGGAGACCCCCGCAGCCTGGGATGGCTATCTGGTATGGACTAGTCTCTGTCATTTTTAATGGATTCAGAAGTTGCCTTGTCTGCAGTTCTGTTTACTCAGATATAATAGGTATAATTTATCCTTCTCAGATCTCTGGGGATATTGACTGACTGTAGCCTTAAGAGCAATGGGCACACTGTTTCTCAGTTCTCTTTGTAAGTAAAAATCAGGCCACAGTCCTCACTATTCTACAACTTATGGGTCTCTTGGTAAGAAAAGGCAGATAGTTTTGTCTTACTCACAGGCTTCATATTGGGGGACAAACAGATTTCAGATGTAACTTTCCACTAGGGGTATATGATAATAATAACAACTGCTTATATCTCTGATAAATGATGAGACAGGAAAGAAAATATAAAAGTCTTTGCAAGTTTTGAGGATCTAAGAAAATGTTCTAAGATATGAAAGTTAAAGTAAGTCATGAAGGTTTGAGTAGGTGGTTTATGGGTTGGAGACAGTAAGTTATATAAGGGCTGTGGATATGAGAGTCTATGACTGAGATATATAAAGATCTGAGGATATGAAAGCTTGAATAATTTCTAAGGGTCTCAGGAAATGATTTAAGATATAAATACAAGTTACAAAGGTATAAATAGATGATTTAAGATAAGGAAAATGCTTCAGATTTCTTTTTCCTTCTGTGATATTGTTATATTGAGGTTTTAAAAGTTCAGAATTTAACATTAACAGAGTTTTGATAAGCTAACAGAGCAATGACTACTTACTGTTTAAGTCACAAGCTTAATTTTAGATTTCTCTTGGTTGTCTTCTAAATATATACTTGGAAATGCTTCTAATCAAGTCAAAGACATCTTTGCTCAATCTAAACTTGGTTCTCTGGACAGGAGGAAAATGTACATGCTTTTAACCCAAATCTGTAGCTTTTGCTAGGACTCAAAGAATTTTTATGTAAGCTTCAGAGAACCAAGAGAATCATAAAACTTGGATCCACTTCTCACAGGTCAAAAGGACTCTAGATAAGTATAGCTTAAGTTTCCCTACCTGTGTATTCCTGGGAATGATATTTCTCTCTCCTGGTCTTGGGACTCTTCCCCTTCCTCAATTACTAAAACTATAGATCTAAAAGTTGAATTTTAACTTTTTCTTCTAATTTATATCTGTCTCAACAGATTTCTACTTGGCTGACAGACACATTCAAGCACCAGCTGCTGACTACAACCTACTGCAAACAGTTGTGAACTCTGGACTTGTTGAAAGCTGATATGGACCAATTCAGCCAATATGATTGTTCCCTGTCTCTACAGCTGTGTCAAATGACCATATGCTTCTGATGAATGCCCCCTTTTCCAGCCTTTGACTGGTCTTTTAGCCTTCATGGTCCTTGACAACAACACTCCAATATCAGCTGGAAGTAATTACAGAAGAGAATATGTCATCCTGTGTCCCCTGCCCTTAATAGGCTGAAATGCTGAGTCAAAGGGAAACTCCCTATACTCTAGGAATGACCCCATTTAAGATCACGTATGTCAGGCCACAATCCATTCTGCCTAACCTCAGGGCAGAACTACTAGCTGAATTTGATGGCCAAGGATTTCTTTCCTCCCTACAAGTTCTGTCTTAGGTACAGAAACAACTTTGCCCTCAATTGTATGCAGTCTATGAGAAGGCACCACCTCATGTGTCCCACAGTTCTGGCTAGGGGACCTGGACCTGATGATCATCAAGAGGCACAGGAAAGAAACCTTGGAGCCTGGTTTGACCAACTCTCAAATTGGATTTGGTCCCCACTTGGATTCACCATTCCCACATGTGAAGCCTATGGTCCCACATGCTGATCCTGAGGACTACACTCCAGAGGAAGCCAGCTCTGGACTTTGGAGGTCCAATGTACACCCACAGGACCCTCTAAAACTGAGAGTCCAGAAAGTCACCCACCTAGCTTAATGATGGGCTTGTCCCTATGCTTCCTTAGCACATGCCTGCCAGGGCTTTCCAGTCCGGTCACCATGGGGCACAACAACTCCCACCTACCCTTTAATTTCACATGGAAAATCATCAATGCTGGCTCAGGAAAGTTCTTGATCCACACTTCACATGCAGCCCCTTTAGGGACCTGGTTTCTTGATCTATAGCTTGATTTGTGAGTGTTTTATGGTTGGATTAAGGTATCTGGTACTAAATTGCAAGAAGTCACCCATTTTTATGTTTGCCCTGGACATGATAGAGATAGGGCCCAGATAGAAACGTATGGGGAAAATAGCGGCTATTTCTATACTTCATGGGTCACACCTGATCAAAGGCCCCCCAAAATGGGAACTTTACAAGCCTATAAACTTAGAAAAAAAGCATCTCAAGGATATGAGATGATGTACTACTCAAGGGGAGAATGAGAGGGCTGAGGGGTCAGACCAGAGCTATGACAGGTTTGTAGTAGCCCTGCCAGGGACCAGGCCTTAGTTTCACTTTACCGGGACTGTCTGGAACTGAGCAAGTGGTTCTAGGGAAGACCACAACTCAGGGGCAGCCAATCAGCAGGTGCCCCACAGCCTTCTGCTGACTCAACAGGTACCCCAAAGCCCCTTCTGCTGGCTCAGCAGATGCCCCCGTCAACAAGCCTCTAACCACTACAGCCTCCAATCATTCAGCTTCCAGACTAATCTTTCCTTCACCAACCAGCACCAGATTAATCCCTCCTCCATGGGATTCCCCTCACTCTTATTACAAGGAGCTTGAAACCTCCCTTTGGGGTTGCAATTTGCCACCCCAACCAGTGGGGAACAATAAATGCTCTTGCTAAATTGTGTATGTGACTGCTGGTTTTTCTTGGGGCCTTCTCTTGGACCCTAACAGTATAACTAATGGTAATTTTCCAATGCAGTAGGAAGAAACGGAGGAAGAAAGAGAGGAAGGCAAGGCTACAGAGCCTCAAATGGGGCAAGTTCTTGGGCCTGGAAATGGAGAAGCTACAAATCCAGACTGCTTGGAAATCTTTGACTGGAGAAGGCTGGGGCATAGTCCTTACTAGAACTCTGCATGGAGATGGTTACATTGCCACTAGTGTAAGAATTGGGGATGGGTGGTGGTGGCACACACCTTTAATCCCAGCACTCGGGAAGCAGAGGCAAGCGGATCTCTGTGAGTTCAAGGCCAGCCTGGGCTACAGAGGGAGTTCCAGAAAAGGCAGAAAGCTACACAGAGAAAACCTGTCTCGAAAAACAAGCAAACAACAAAAAAAAGAATAAATAAATAAATAAAAAATAAAAAAATAAAAAAGAATGGGGGTGCTGTGCATTTGAGGTGACCTGATACTCAGATAGCGACCTCCCCTTCTTACCACACATCTGTTCAACTCAGCAACATTCTCCGAGTCTCTTATAAGGGGTGCATCAGATGGTATTCAAGAATTAGACATCAACATGTATGTAGAAGACTGTTGAAATAGGAATGGATGGATGAAATAGCTTAAAACAAAGGCTAGAGGGAAGATGTGGGAGATCTCAAAACATCAGCTATGTGTTATGGTATGCTGGGAAGGGTTTCATAAGCAACAGAAAAAAAGATTAGTGCCCTGAAAACAGTGACTCCATGCCTGTGCTAAGGGATCAGAAAATACATGCCTGTGCTCAAACAACAACTAGGGGGCATGTGACTTTCTCCAATGACAATACAATTCACAGGCCTTCAGTGAGCAGAAGAATGATGTTGGACAATACCCTGAAGTTGACTTTCCATAACAGGCTGCATTTTAATACAAGAGTCTAAGAGTACAGATCTGCATGGCTAGCATGTAACCTTTGACTTCATAGTACCATTATTTAATGCTTGTGTGGGGTATCTGGCAAGTTGATCTTCTTGTGTGGGTTTTCCCACTCTTTATATGTGTCCTTGTTGAGCTCACTCCTTGCATTTTCATGGGATTATACAGGTCTGTGAAAGAACCCCCCCCCCCCACACACACACAGTGGGGGTTTCCTCCCAGACCCTGGGTTAGGCACAAACCACACCCAAATACCTGTTTTCATGGAGAGATCCTTCATTAAGCCTAGAAGAAAAGTTAAAGTGGCTGCTTTCTGACTCAGGCAGAAAACAGGAGCAAATGATCTTGCAGGTATAATTTTTTTAAATTTATTTTATTTAATTAACATTCTTTTCATTTATTTTACACAATTTCCCCTCTCTCCTCTTCTCCTATCCCCTCACTTCTATCTACCCCCCATCCACTCCTCTGTCACCATTCAGAAAGGGGCAGGCCTCCCATGGGCTTGAACAAAGCATGGCACATCAGGTTGAGGTAGGACCCAGCTCTTCTGCCTGCATCAAGGCTGGGCCTGGGAAAGAGGTTCCCAAAAGCCAGATAAGTGCCCGGGACGGGTCCTGATCTCACTGCTAGGAGCCTTACAAACAGACCCAGCTACACAACTGTCTCACACACATGCAGAGGGTCCAGGTCGGTTCCATGCAGGCTCCCTAACTGTTGGTGGTCCAGAATCCATTTGCTCCCATGAGCTCAGTTTAGCTGTCTCTGTAGGTTTTCCAGTCATAACCTTGACCCCTCTGTTCAATCCCTCCTCCCCCTTTTCAGGAGGACTCTTGGAGCTAGGCCCTGTGCTTGGCTGTGGATCTCTGCATCTGTTTCCATTGGTTACTGGATAAAAGCTCTCTGATGACAATTAGGGTATTCACCAATCTGATTACAGTAGATGGCCAGTTCAGGTACCCTATTTGGATTCCTGGGAGTTTTTCTGGCACCAGGTTTCTCCTTAACCCCAAAATGGCCCTGCAGGTATAATTTTAAGAAGAGTAAAGGAGAGGGTGTCTGTTAGAATGGGCTAGGATGTGGTGGTATATTTTGATTGGGCATGTTAATTAGATGAACCAAAGGGGACTTTTGGTTGGTGGACCCTGGTAGTGTGGGCCTAAGGAGGAGGAAGTAGTCAAATAAGGCAATAGACCTTGGTGGTTAGCTTTAGGAATGTAATCTAATGCTTTTTTAGCAAGGCAGAGGTGTGGTGATACTTCATCTGTGTACCCCAATAAAGTTTATTTGAGGATCAGAGGAAAAAATCAGCCACTATAGTAAACACAGAGGTCAGGCAATGGTAGTACATGCCTTTAATCCTATCACTCAGGAGACAGGGATCCATCTGGATCTCTGTGAGTTCAAGGCCACACTGAGAACAGAGACAGATGTGGTGGTAGGTATCTTTAATCCCAGCACTAACCAAAAAGGTCTGGAGGTCTGTACAGACAGACAGGAAGTGACAGAGCTGGGCAGGAAGAGGAAGTTATATATCTGGGTGGAGAGAAGAAACGAGATGTCAGAACAGAAAGGCATATAGGCATGGGTATACAGGAAGTAGGTCTCTTTGGCTGAGGATCTCCAAGTGGTGAGAACATGGCTGGCTTCTTTCTGCTTTCTGATCTCTCGGTTTTGACCTAAATATCTGGCTCCATGTTTTTTATTAATAACACCATTTAGCAATTCGTCTACACAGAGGGAATTGGAGAGAATGGCAGGTCCTGCCAGAACCACATGGTCAAGTGGGCTAGTGTTCCTTCAGTCTGTCTCATCAAACTGACTGTAAGCTTTCAGATAGTAGGCACCGTATTTCTTTCCTTCTTATGCTACAGATGACAGCACAGAATTTATCCCTGGTGTATGAACTGGCTTTTTGGAGACCATTCCCTACGGAGAGATACCTTGCTCAGCCTTGGTGCAGGGGGCATGTGGCTTGGTCCTGCCTCAACTTGGAATGCCAGACTTTGTTTACTCCCCAAGGAAAGTCTTGCCTCTCTGTGGAGTGGATAGGGGGGAATGAGTGGGGTGGAGGAAGTGAAGGGGAGTGGGAGAAGGGGAAGGAGGGGGAACTGTGATTGGTATGTAAAATGAAAAAAAATTAATTAGAAAAAGAAGATCTGAGAACCTCTGATGATTAGTAAACTTAGTTGTCGGAATCAAAGGACCTTTTTGTCTGCATTTTGGAGACAGATCCCATTTGCTACCAGTTGTGGAATGTTTACCATATACACCACTCTAAGGACCTTTACATGTGTCATTTACTACACCCTAGAACTCTGCAAAGGGGTGTTATTGTCATTATACCACAGATAAGGTTCTGAAACCTGTGGAAGATAGGGAAGTGATCCAAGATGCCAAAGCTACTTATTGGTTGCCACCACTCCACTGTATCTAGCTCTGTATGGATATGCATGTCTTTATTTGGAGGTGGTCGGATGACTGCATTAGAGAATAGTATCGACCAATTCCTCAGTGTGTACACTGTCACTTCTCAGGACCTAAGTTTCCCTATCTGCTGCGTATTTAACCATCTGCAGATCATTTTTAAAAACTAAATCTGCTCTAAACATTTTTCCTTGTCATTATTTACAAAGCAATACATCACAAACACTATTTACATAATATGTACATTGTATTCCGCATTGTGAGCAATGTAGCAGTGACCTAAAGCAAGCGGGTGGGTGAGTACAGACTACATGTAAACATTATTCCATTGTGTATAATGCACTTGAACACATCAGAGAGTGTAGTGGGGCCAGTTACCCATGGACACTGAGAGGAAACTCTACCAAAGTGTTGTTTTAGGAAGGCCTTGGAGGAGGAGTGTTTCAGTGAATGTCAGTAATCATCCTAACCAGGAGTAGTGCTACATGACTGTAGTCCCAGCACTTGTGAAGCTGAGGCAAAAAAAAAAAAAAAAAAAAAAAAAGAAAGAAAGAAATTTGAGGCCAGCCAAACTGCCAGATGCCTCTCCCTTAAGGACTCTTGACAACTGATAATATGGAAATGATGAAATCTGTGTTTTTCTTCAACAACAATAAAAATACTAGCAGAGATTGCCATTGTTGAATTGTTGGTTCTGTTGGCATGGGAGACGCTAGTGAAGTGTTATAGGGGCTAGGCCTCCTGTGTGTTTCCTTTTCAGAGCTTCTTTACATCAGTGGCCTGGAAAGTAGACTCTCATTAGTTGTGACTCTGTGACAAGGCTTGACCTTCTGTTCCAGTTAGACCTATAGGCAGGAGGGAGAAGAAACAAAGATTCCATGAAGGTGGAATACCTGCTGAGGACTGCCAGTTCCTGCACCAGTCCATGGCAGATAAACTCCTATATATACACATCTGTGCCTGTGGAGCCTGGAGGACTTAAAGAAGTCATCCTCTGGTCAAATACAGACTGAACTGGACTGACTGTCTTCCTTTGGCCAAATCTGTGTCCAGAGTGTTATTTTGGAGGATCACTCTTGCACATAGATGTTGAGTCTAACAGGGAAAAGACATGATTGCCAGGAGTCTGGAAAGCCCTGTAACATGAAGCCACAGGAAGGATGACAGAGACAAAGGGAACTTTCGCAATATTTTTTTTTCCATCTGATTCTGTAAAACAAACCTAGCTCTTGCAGTTCCCTCTGTTCCAAATGGAAAGAGGGCCTCTATTGTTTAGAAGCCACAGCCCTTACCTGGGCTGCACCAGTGTGCACTATGTGAGTGGGGTTGCTCTTCATGCATTTTGACTGGTCTGTGCTCAGGCCATATTGGCTGTTTTGCATATTGAATGTCATCCCTGGCTTCAGCAAAAGAAAAAAAAAATCATCAAAACAGAACTTCTTTCATAAGAACATGACAGGATAGTCTGTTCCACCTTCAATTTTTTCCTCCTCCTCTTTTTTGGGGGGTCATATTTCTAATTTGTCGTATGGAGATAATAAACATCAAAGCTGGCATTGTCAATGATCTCATACCAGAAAAAAGACCAAATGAACCTCTTTGCATGGCCTCTTGGGGAA